GTTATATCCTTTGTCTCTGCTTCTTCTTGGGCCTTTCTCGGCCCACTTTAGCTCCACTTGCTTCAGTGTGCTTGGGTACCTCCATCCCCAGCACCATACCTTCCCCGCTTTTTCTATGTACCTTCACTCCCAAACCCGACAATAAATTAATACGCAGCTTCTTTGGATGAAATAGTAAATTGCTGAGATAAAAAATAAATAATATTTAAATTGTTTGTATATTTGACTTGGAAGTTAAAAAAAAAAAAGAGGAAATGACAAAAATTTTGTAGTAAAGCAAGAGTCCAAATGCCGTTTCTAATTCTCTATATATAGTTAATTAATATCCATCAAGGTGGAATGGGTCAAGCTGAGTTGTTAATGTTAGATCTATTAACTCTATTCAAAATTATCTAACTAATACTACTTTCAGTCCTAAATATAAGAGCTAGTTGACTAATTTGAGCAGATTAATGAAATAAGTTAAGTTAATTATTTGTAATAAATATGTGTTGTCTTTCCTAAAATATTTTTACTAATCAAGTATATTGGCTAGAACGTAACTATCATTATTACAAAGTACTATGTTGAAAAAAATAGATAGATATGAGAGACAAAATGGATTGGGGTTTTATATTTAGGATCAAAATAAAAATCAAACGAGATCTTGTATTAAGAAGTAGAGGTGGTAATATATTATATATTTAACGTGCTAAATCTTTTATAGAATTGGGAGGATGCATTATTCGACCCAACATGTTCCCGCTCTTTTCGACGTGGTAAAATCAACATTATATTTGATGTGGTCACAATTTAACCTATTTCAATCATATCAGTTAACAGTGTCCGATCAGGGGAGGAAAGAGATTGAACTGGTAGCCTGTGATCATATCGTCGTTCTGTTTGGTGTTTTCAAGGCAAATGACATTATTTGATCATTTGGCCAATGTTAAATTCATGAGAATGAAACAGCGTACTATGAAGATGGAAGAGGAAGCCGGTTAGGTTACCTTTGGCTGAATCTCAAGCCGAGACACTCGATACACTTTCTTCCTTCTATCATATCCCCCATGCCCATCTCCAAACACTGCCTGCAATAAACCCTTCCACAAACCTGCAGGCGTCCCCATTAATATATCTGTTATAGCCAACAAATTTCATATTTCATTCAAATTAAATATCTGCCATATGCAACTTACCAAGCATCTGGTTCGAAAGACATAGACGTAGGTACTGCAAATGGTGCAAATTTTTGAGTGGGGAATCCCCGGTCGCCGGCGACGCCCATCCCCTCTTCCCGACGCCGTGCTCATGTCATCAAAACCCGTGCTATATCGCGAGTCCGCATCCTCACCTGCTCTCACGCGAGGGCTCCGTCCTCCACTGGCACGTCCTAGACTACGGGCATAAGGATCCCATGGCGCGTCTACGTGGGTGTCGCGGTGGTGGCGGCGTCGGTTGTCGTCGGATGGCGTGCGCAAGCCGGTGGTAAATTCGAGGCTGGGTATTCTGATCAGATGAGGAGGAGGAGAACCATGAACTTGTTGGGAAACATCAGGTTCAGGTGAAATGGGTGGCCTGACTTTCTCTTGGGAAGTACTATTCAACTTGGCTAAGTCCTGAAAGGTGAAGTTGACGGACTCATCTGGGATTCCTCGGTACAGTTCTTCAAGTTCCATTCTTGGCTTCGTTAGAGTCGTCGTCTTCATCATGGGATCTCCCATTACACTGCTTTTGCTCAAGGGTCGAGATTAAGCTCTGTTGATTATTGCTGTAATTAATTTGTATACAAGGAGAAGCGGAAGTTCAAATAAAGGCACAAGCTGGCCTAGGCTTCTTCGGTAGCATTAGATGCAAAGAGACGATCGTATACGGCCAACTCTTAACGTCGATATCGGCCGGCCTAATATAACCAAACACGGAAGCGCATATATTTTAAATACTTATATCTACCAACAAATATATGGAAGAAACCAGTAACGAAAATCTCGTTAATGGTGTAAATAATTTTCTCAATTTATTATACTACCCCCAATCCTAATTATAAGAGCCAGTTGACTAATTTGAAGAGATTAAAGAAGTAAGTTAAATTAGTTATTTGTCATAAATAGGTGTTGTTTTTACTAAAATATCCTTACTAATCAAGTGTATTGAATAGAACTATCATTGTTAGAAGGGCTACTTTAGAAAAAAAAAATATAAATATGAGAGACAAAGTGGATTGGGGTTTTATATTTAGGACCAAAATAAAAATCAAACAAAATCTTATATTAAGGATCGAAGGTAGTATAATATTGGGCAACGCATTTGCGAGTTAACTACAAATCTTTATGCAGTGCTGGTGTAACATCAATTAAGTGACGATCAGTAAAATAACTGAGTTGATGAAGTAGAGTAATAACTAATAAGCATATTCATAGCTAGTTTGCATGATAATATATTTGTGTTATTCAGTGAAGCATTGTGAAACAGTAAAAATTCATTATATGAAGTACAATAATTCAAATTAAATGAGTTAAGTGGAATGGCATTAATAATTTAATTATACGAAGCTTAAACACAAAACTGTGAACGCGGTTTGGATTCAGGACCGATCCGGCCAACGAAAATGACATTCCTTTGCCGGATCGTCCGAGCCAATATTTGCTCACTCACATAATTCGCATCTTAATTCTTGGCTTTTACATTCTTTACCGTCTTGGGTACAAGGGCAGAAGAAAAAAAATAAAAATAAAGCTTAATAAGCTGTAAAGAAATTTAATTAGACCGTGTTTTACCAAAAAAAGTGATTAAAAAATTATAAAATTAGCAGTTCAATGAATGACGAGAATAAAATGTGTCTTGTTTTCCGGAGTTCAATAAAATGTTGAACCAAAAATAAATTAGGTTAGGATTTTATGAATGTATAACCACACTATGAGAGTTGTTTTTATTTGGTTTCATAGTTGTTTAAACATCAATTAATTATATATAGAGAGGTTGAATTGGCAATATTAACAAATTATATACACGACAGAAGTTGGGGCGGATAATTTCTCTAGTGGCTCCATTTAGCTAATAAATATAATACTTTATATAAGTTAGATGAATAAAAAAATTAGAAAATCTTGAAAGACGCAATCGAGTAAATTATAAATTAGCCCAGCTGTTTCTTTTTCTCCTAATGGATGTAAGCACAGCTATTTTGTTTGTGAACGTTCAGGGAACTGGTAAACGGAAATAATTAATGATTTAGTATAAACTTAGTGTATCTTATCATTTTTCCAGTTATTATTATTAATTATAAAAAGCATCGATACATGATCAAATGGAAGTGGAGCATGTTTCATAATCTTTTACCTCCACATGTCCTCAAAGATTTAACGGCAATTTCGATTGATCAAAATGCTCAATCCCATTCCTGCTTTTGGCACTTGACGAAATCTGGAGATTTCATGCCATCAGGTCAGCTTATCATGTTTCAGAAAACCTGAATTGGAACAATGCTAAAAAAAAGTAGACCTAGACATGGAAAGTTCCAATGGCTAAGAGGGTATAGACCTTTACTTGGCTTCTTGTTAAAAAGAAATTGCTCACTAATACTGAAAGATATAGAAGAGGTATAACATCATATCAGAGATGTACTCTCTGCTGTGCGGACATAAAGGATCTTAATCATGTCTTTAAGGCTTATCCTTTAGCTTCTTTAGTGTGGAAGAAAGTTCTCCCAAATGATATGCACATAAATTTCTTTGGGAAAGACATTACTTACTGGTTAACTCATCAACTGCAGCATCTAAACCTAGAGGATTCTTGGAAAATTGGATTTTACACAACTTGTTGAAAATTATGGGAGGCAAGGAATCACCGTCTCTTTTCAAGTGAGAATTATACCGCTGAAAATATTTTGATAAATATTTGTGCTATAGTTAGGCATTCCTTGAAAAGTTTTTCCACTATCAATTTAATCATGTAAATCCTGTTGCTTGTATATCGCCTGACTTTGTATAGTTTATTTTGCAATGAGAATTATCCATTTCATTAAAAAAAAATTAATTCATCCTCGTGCAAAATATTGTTTAAATGTAAATAAATTAATTGAATATGCATGGCAAGTACATTATATAATACATGTAATTAGAGCGAACCCATATCACGATTGGCTGCAATAGAATGGACAAAGACAATACTCCTTTTTTTAAAAAAAAAATTATATTCAAAATAATTTTTATCGGCAGGTTGAATCGGGTTTTCATACCTCACAATGAAAACGCTAATCGTATAATATACGGGTTTTCATAGTATGCTTGCAAGAGAGTCGACTCCGACCGGTGGCGCACGGCGGCGCCTCGTAGTCCTGGCTTCATTCTGCACAACACGCATCGCAGCTCAGCGCTTCCGCCGCACAACTCATCGTTCCGTCATAGCCTCAAGTTAAGTAAGTTCACCTCGCACCCTCGTCGGCAACTTGAAGATAACTTGCTTCTTATTTTATTTTATTTATTTTTTTGAATGTGTTTTTCTTCATCAGTTAGTTCTCCCGTTCGCTCACTTTCACTTTGTCTTATTACTGGCTATCCACCACGTGTAGTTTCCCCCTGAAACAGCAACATGATTTGTATACTCTGTATTTCTTCATTCTGGAACACCATGCGATTCTTATGCATTTCCCCTTGTCATTTATTTATGGCCTCTTGAATCGGAGCATGCATGATAATTTCAAGCTTAAATGCTTGCTTGCTTCCCGTTAAAGCATACATTGACAAGCTAGCTCATTTTCCTTTTGGCTACGACAACTTCCTAAAGTAACTATACTAAAAAATCACGGTGAAGAATATTTATTCCTTGCTTGAAGATTTTTATCAAGTAAATATCGCTATGTATGGTACATGATAAAATTAATCAATACATAGATATTCTAGTCTGGCAATAAGCGTCCACTTATTTTTTTGAAATTGACAGCGTTCAAACAAAAGATATTAATATTTGGACTTTTCTTTCTCGAGGAAAATCTGCTCGACATCAATTTCAACACTTCTAGGATGGAGGTTGCTTTGGCAGCATCCTTTGTTGATGCTGATGTTGACTGCTGGGACCTTCGGTGGGGGGCAGAGCAACTGCGCTATAAAACTTGTGCTTCCACCCCTCATGGCCTCGTCAGTGTGGGCAGTCGCTTCCTTGCATCTTCCCAGATCCGAGATTCCTCAGCCAATGCTGGTCTGGTTCTCTACTGGTCCTGGTCCAAGGTCTGTCTTCTTCATTGCATTTCATGCATTTCAAGTTGTTTGCAACTTTGCCTTTTTTTTTAATAATAATCTGATTTTTACCGATGTGTTTATTTGGATGAATAATAATGATTGACATGTTATTGCTTATGGCTCAGCCTCAAGTAGAAGCCAAGAGCTTTCCAGCTGAGCCGATCAGGCCTCTTGCTGCTAATCACCCAGGCACTTATGTAGCCGGTGGAGGTTTATCGGGTGACATATACTTTTGGGAGGTATGGTAACTCTTTGATGAGACATTATATGGTAAACGTCTCCTGGCATTAGGTTGGGAAGATATGAATTAAAAATGAAAACTTAGTTGCTGTTGCCTTTTAACTTTATTGACATCATGTTTTGTTTTCCAGGTTGAAACTGGCAGATTGCTTAAGAAGTGGCATGCTCATTATAGGGCTGTAACTTGCCTAGTATTTTCTGAGGATGACTCACTACTGATATCTGGTTCAGAAGATGGATGCATACGAGTTTGGTCCTTGTTCGTGTATATAATTCTCATCTTTCCTCTTCCTCTTCTCCATTTTTGCATTTTCTAGGAGTAATTTGTCATATATACCACGTGTTTCAGGATATTTGATGATTTGAAAAGGCAGGAAGCAGGTCATCTTTATGAGCATAGTTTTTCAGAGCACACCTTATCAGTAACTGACATTGTAATTGGCTATGGAGGATGTAATGCAATTATAATTTCTGCTGCAGAGGATAGGACCTGTAAGGTTTGGTTTGCTTTTGCTTTTTTGGTGTCTTTTTTTATAGTATCGTGTTAGCTAAGTAATAGGATGTATCAAACTAGAAAAGATATTTTTACTTTGCAGCTCGAATGACTGAGATCCTCCTCTTTTGAAATATTTCTTGAGGGTTTAGCATGCTTAGGAATTATAATTCATAATGTTCACGTGCCAAAGCAAGAAATGCTTCATAATATAGGGGGGATTTGTCCTGAAAGCTCGCAAAACAATCCTCTACAGTCTGTCAAATCAAAGGCTATGAGGGTCAGTGTTATAACTCATATAAAGTGAAAGGCATCTATTCTAAGGAAATGTCTGCCATAAATATGATATTTTCTTGAAAGTAGTAATGTGAAGAAGCAGAACTGCACAACTAAATTTAAGAGTTATCTTTTACGAATAAAATATAGGTCTGTTCTAGATTTTTCTGTTTTTGTTTTTTCGTCAGAAGTGAGGGGTCAGTGCTTAATATTGTTCCAAGGGCTACCTGGTGTAGACTACACTTAGAATGAACTCTAATTTGCTCTGTTAGATTTGTGTCCATTGTTCTCTAAATTTAACAAAGTTGATATTGGGACCATTTTATTGTAAATTCTGTGGTTATTTCTTAAAAAGCGCTCGCGCACACATTTGGTTTCTTCGTTATTTGCTGTGTTCTCATATGAATTGGCTGTGACATCTTGGCATCTCTATTTTTCTCTTAAATATTGTTTTCTGATATAGCACTGCTGTTGATTTTGATCCGAGTCATGATATTCTTTTTGTGGTCCCAAGGTTTGGAGCTTATCTAGAGGAACACTGCTAAGAAATATAGTATTCCCGTCAATAATTGATGCGATTGCACTGGATCCTGCTGAACATGTCTTTTATGCTGGCAGTAGACATGGAAAAATATTTATTGCCGCACTTAACGCTGAAAAGATCCGTAGTCATAATCATGAGATGCATATCATCGGTTCATTCTCTAATCACAGGTTAGTTCTTCTCTTCTAAGTATACATATCTTGAAACATCGACCTCCCTATTAGTGGTTTGCTCGTATTTTCTCCTTCGTGCTCTCAACTCTTCATGTTCGCCAAAGTTTTGGTAGTTTGTTTTCTCTTTGCCATGATATTTTTCCTCATGTAAATCACGACGACGCATTTGCTAAGTTGTTTGGTGCTTGGTGATTGGGCTGGAATTTAGATTTTTCCTTAGATTGGTCCTCAAATTGCCAGGAGCACCTTCTTTAAGCCAATATTTGAAAATTTAGTTGGCCAGCATCAGTGACGTACTCTTTTCCATTGAAAACATTGCATATTGGCTTCTGACAGGGGATTGTAGGTTTACATTTCACCAGTGGACAATGTATAACATGTTATTTCAGCATGAGTGGCCTGCTGATTTATATTAGAAATTTAGGAAAAGAAAACCCAATAATCATGATGAGTATTTTCGAGCCTTGTATGCTCTGGAAGGCTGAAAGCCACTATTGAATTAATCTGTACTGTTGATTCTAATGATGATCCCCCATTGACTTATGTTTTCCGTATGAAAATGAAAGCCATTATTGACACTAGATTTTATTTATCTTGAATTGCTGATCATGGATTTTATTTGTGAACCTTTGGAATTAATAACAAAATGGTCTTGCCCCTTAGCTCATGGTATCATAGCCTTGTAATATATGCAATTAGAAGTATGATCCTTGCTGTTCCTGTTATCATTGAATTAAAATTCCTGTTGAGATAGCTGATTTGAATTTTCTGTGCAAATTATGATGTCTTGGCTTTGTCCTTGAGTCCAAAGGCTTACGCATGATGGTGTATGACAGATAGTAATAAAATCAATCCTGGATCTTCACTTAACCCATTAAACTCAAGTTAGATAGTCGTTGATTTTGAATAAAAAATGTGCTTGGTTGGACCAGAAGTTAACCTGCTTTTTCCCCTTCCCTCAACAGCAAAGCAGTTACTTGCTTAACATATAGTGCAAGTGAGAATTTGTTAATCTCTGGATCAGAAGATGGAATGATTCGGATTTGGAATGCAAAAACTCGTAATTTTGTCCGCATGTTCAAGCACGCAAAAGGTTCTATCTGACTCTTTTAGATTTATGTTCAATACATTTTAGTTATGATATTTTCTCTTCTATTATGAACTGTTATATACAGAATAAGCTTATGACTTTTTCGATGTTCATCCTGCACTTTCTGTACTAGAACTTAATGATAAATATAAGTCTTGATACATCTGATGCAAGAGTGCATGTCAATATGGCAGGGCCTGTAAATAATATTCTCGTTGTTAGAAAACAGCTTGACTCAAGCAAGCGTACTTCAACTTCACAATCGTGCTCAAGAAAGCAGGGATCTTTATTACCCCCTCCATTGGAAAAATACTCAAATTCAACAACAAATGAAGCTTCAGATGTTGAGATGGTTGTTAGCCTTCACGATGACAGGATCGGTTTGGATGTTTCATACATGTCTTGTCGGGCGATACTTAATCAAACCAAGGAATTTCAGGTTTGTTGCGCATGGACGATTAACCGATAGATATATTCTCATCATTAGTCTCATTTTGCATTGATTTTTTTTGGTAAAATGCCGTTATTCAATCTTCTAACCTCGATAAAACCTCTGTTTTTAACCTTTTAAACCAGAACCAGGGCTCCTCTGCCTCTGAAATGGCGATGGAGAGGCTAAAAGCAGATTGCAAGAGATCTGCCCAGATGGTTGACCGATTTAAGAAAATGTGTGAAGATTTGCAAGAATTCTATGAGGATGACTTCTTGAAAAGTGGTCAAACAAAAACTTAAGATCAAACTGGCAACTAGGTCGCTTTATTTTCTTGCTTGCTCTGCTCAAATTTACCCTTCGAATGTAGAAATTCTAAGGCTTAGTTGATTTATCTGGCGAGTTATTATTGGCAATTTTGCTTCCTCTCGGTACTTCTAAGTTCTGATATGCTGCTACGCAACACAGAGCTCTTTTATACATGTTTTTTGGATGGGCAATTGAATGCTACATGTAAACGGTGAAATGTTCGTTGTTTATAGGAAATACTTCAATACTTGACTGAGCTTCTGGCAAATTGGAAGGGAAAACAAAGGAAATGGGATGACAAATTTTTGAACTACATTAAGTGAGTTCTCTCTAGCGCATATTTTTCTGTCTATTTTCGTAACGGTACTGATCTAAATGGTAATTATTTGTGTTGGTCGCCGTAGTTGCAAAACTGAATTTATTTTTTTTATTGCGAAATTGACGATTAATTCATGGAATTAGTTTGTTCGATCCTGCAAAATTAATTTATTCGAAATGATTGAATCGCTATTGTCCGTCTCATTACATCAATGATGGAGTTTATTTCTTAAGAAACAATTAAAACTTAACGAAATGAATATTTCCGTCTTATAATTTTGGGGTTTTATTTCCTGAGCTAATCCAAATCGGAAACTTCTCATTTCCGAAGAAGTGTCCACTAGGAGCTCGGTATATAAGATTTTTTTCCCTGTATTTGAGTAAAAAATAATTAATTAAACAAATAAAAGCAGAAGAAAATAATCAATGAGCTATTAGTTGAGATAGTAAGCGGTTTTCCGCAAGAAAAAAAACACAAGTTTAAATTCTGAAAAATGTAGTTGTGAGAGTTTTAAACTTTTAATCTTAATACTCTCTGCCCAATAGAAATTAAACTTAAACTCAAAATAATTTGAGGATAAAAATATCTTGCCTGGAAGATAAAATAATATCAGGGAAGGATGACATTTTCAAAGGACATTTGACTCCCTTGTATTTAGGACCAGAGATAGTATATAATTATAAAAAATAACAAATAAATTCCAAATAATGCATTGAAAAGAACAGTGTTATTGAAAACGTGAAAAAAAAAAAAAATTTGCCAGACAAGAGACGTGTGGAGGAGATGACGGCTCCGACGCGTGGAGGAGAGGAGAGGAGCAGTCAGCATCCGTAAACTTAGATCTTTATATGCAAATCTTAAAAGATTGGTTATAAACAGTTGTAAATTACGGATGTTTTGTTTGTGTAACCCCAGAAGCTAATTGTGAATATCAGAATTTCTATTACAAATGGCAAGTTCAGTTGCGAAAAGCTTTTGTGAGTCATCACTAATTTGTTAGCTTTTACATTATGAGCTTTCAAGTTTAAAACTAAACTTTTGGGATTTGCGGCTAAAAGGCGCAATCCACATAAGGGTCCTGTTCTTTTTTTTTTTTTAATTTATATAAACCATGATGAAACATGTTGCAATCAAACGATTTAACAATGCTCTTTGTTTTTACTCATCAAGTTGCAATCCTCATTTGTTAAACATGAACTTATTAAGAATTTATAATAAAATAATTTAGGGATAAGATCAATCCCCGCACCTTTAACACGTTAATGTAAAAACATAGTACTTAAATTATCTTTTGCAAATGAAGGTGGGCACGCTATGGAGGGCCTCTCAAATCTTGCGTTCGTTAAAATTGTTCAGAATTATATTTATTCTAATTTTTTATGAATATCTTATAATTTAATCAAGAATAATTTTTATTTCTTTTCATAAAATTAGATTCTCTTTCATGATATGATTTATCCAATTTGTGATTGGAAAACATTAAAAAAAAGAAAGACACATGACCATGTATGGTTAAAAGACTTGATATAATAAACATAAAAAACTTAACATAAATATTATTTTATATATAATTTCGCATGTGTTGAAATAATGTTCAGATCATATTGGTTAACAATTTATAAATATTTTTATAAGCAAGTTCTAAGATGTGTTGTAATCATAATAATTCAGCTCATAAAACCAATTCATCAACTTACTAATTGTGTGTGTATATATATATATAAAGTTAAGGTGTAAATTTGTTTTAAATATTTTTGCTCATCAGCATTGGGCACTCAAAATTTTTTTGGATATAAATTTACCCAAAAAATTTAAAATCGTAACAATATTGCCCACTACTATTAAAAATGTTAAGGATTAACGTCACTATTTTTACGATCAATATTAGTTTTTTAATTATAAAAAACAATACTGTCATGATTTCAAATTTTTGAAACAAATTTGCACAAATAAAAAAAAAATTCAGGGACTCAGCGTTCCTAATTAAAATTTTTGAAGACAAATTTACCCCTAATCTAAAAAAAAGGGTATGATATTGTATCCGGATAACACAAGGAACATATTTTAAAAGGTTGTACAAAAGTGAGACATGTGAGAAAATGTCCCTGGTCTAAAAAAAGAAAGCGTGTGAGAAAATGTCATGCACCGCATTTTGATACATGAACCCCGTAAAGTGATTGATGCATCTGTGGAGATGAATTGAGAGGACCCCAGTAGAATCTCGCTTCTACCTCACGGCCCTTTTCCTGTCCCCTTCACTTAATTTGTGTCGTCTATATTAACTGTCACCGGTTTAAAATTTAATATTTTATTCAAAAATGATTGAAATATTAAAATTTAATGTGATTTTTACCCAATAAAAAATATAAGAAAAACAATTTTGTGCCACATATGCTTTTCCTTAATTTTTACTCTGGTACCTACATTTTTTCCTTTTAATTAAATACTATCTCGAGTTCTTAATTAAAAAATTAGTTAAGTTGATTAATTGTAACAAATATTTGTCGGCTTTTCTATACTATCATCTTTACTCATGTGCATTGAAATTATTTCTCGATGGGAATTTCTTATAGTTAATAGAGATATTTTAAAGAAAATAATCAAATATTATAAATTTAAAAGACAAAATAAATTAAAGTCTTATATCTAAAATTAAATTCAATTTTCAACAAATTTTTATATTAAGGGTGAAAAAGTATAGTACTCTAATTTTGTTTTATTATTACTGCCAACTCTTGTAATTTTGCTCCGTGAGCTCTGTTAAACTTAGCCTTTGTACAAGAGCTAATGGTACAGACAGAACAGGACTAAGGCATTTAATTTTGGAGCCATTCGTACAAACGCCGCGTCCTTTTCTAATTTTCCTGCGACGAAGGCCCGAAGTCATCGATTTTTTTTAATTATTGAATTATTGAATGTGTAAAATGAAACTATTTGATTGCCCATTTCAGTCAAATGCTTCGCGTTTAAAAGACCGAACGAACGTCAATTATTATATATGATCTCTTTTTCTTGCCAACTGTTATACACAAAGAGAAATGGTAAATAAAGATCCTTAAATATATGAAATAGTGAAATGGGTTCCTGAAATAATATAATTACTGTTAGAGACCGGGTCTTAAAATATAATTAGCAAATCATGCATAAAAGACTAAAATACTCCTCACACCATCTTATCTTCTTCCCGTCTTCTTTAGCTTGTGTTGATTCACTGTTGCTCTATATCTCCTTGGCTGCTTCTCCTTTACAAACCAGATCTGAAAAAGTCCTCTTTTTGTTGTCATCCTCTGTCACTTTCTTCTTGTATTGCCTAGCTGTTCTTTCGTCAGCAATGAAACCTCTTCCATCATTCTCTCCGTTGCGATGGAAGGAGAGGAGAGTTGGGGAGTTTGAGGGAGAGTTGCAGTTATTTGCGATGCTTGTGATGTTTACTTACAATGTGTGTGATGATTGCTTGGTGCTGAGACAATACCCAACAAATCTAGATTTTATTCTTCATTTCCATTTTGATTTTCAACTTGTGTTCATAATTAAAAATAACAAGTTTGATAAGTTGTTGAAAATAACAAGTTGACAAGTTCTGATAAGTAATTCATGACAAGTCTAGTAAGGCGAATAACAAGTTTATTAAGGCGAATGACAACTTCTGAAATCCCATATTGTTTTTTGACTTTTTAACCTCTTTCAATTAATATATTACTATGGAAATCAAATGCGGAATATGAATGATGTTTCTGAACCGGAAAATTCGTACTTACTGAGACTAAAAGAATGTCAAGTGGTTTTTGAAATAAGAGAAAGGTAGAGGATAGATAGAGCTTATATTCTTCCTTTGATTCAAGTTTGTTGGCGTTTTACTCATTTCCGATCGTTAGAGTCTGTTTTCTGGGGCCTAATTAACGTTGTCAGAAAGAGAATGACAAGGATAATTCATGAGCTGTATAAAATAAGGACAGACACCATGTGTAGATTGCCTATATCAGTGCATTAGTAGTTTAATTACGAAGCTGTACATGAGTACGATGCTTTTTTTTTTTTTTTTTTTTAATTTCTGGACCAAATGCATTGCCTTATGTTTGGTACGGTGAGATTCAAGAGGTGGTTTTTGTGGCTTAAATTGAAAGTTAAAGTAATGCCAACAAGTTTAGTGTCATTCAATAATAATGCTTTTTATTCTCGAGGGAAAGCACATGTTCTTCAATTCATGATTTGCAATATATACCAATCATTTATTCAAAACTCACTATACATAACCTTAGTCGTTTCGTTAATCTTGATTCACTATATTTAGTGGACCAAATGCATTGCTTTATGTTTGGTACGGTGAGAATCAAGAGGTGGTTTTGGTGGCTTAAATTGAAAGCTAAAGTAATGCCAACAAGTTTAGTGTCATTCAATAATGCTTTTTATTCTCGAGGGAAAGCACATGTTCTTCAATTCGTGATTTGCAATATATACCAATCATTTATTCAAAACTCGCTATACATAGCTTTAGTCGTTTCGTTCATCTTGAACCACTATATTTAGTGTACGTAATATTGAAATTTACATTTAATTTATATGAATTTTTGTGTGGATAGCACTAAATAGAGCCACATAATCTTGAAGTCACACAGCCAAAAAAAATGATAGTTGGGGGGAATTTTTCGTACCGTAAAGCAGATTTCCAACGCGGTAGTTGACCTGTTGAAGAGAAGAGGTATTCCGGTTGTTCACCTGTTTCTGAAAGAGGAGGGAGGAAAAAAAGAAGAACAAGTGGAAGTTGTTCATTGGCGTATTTCTTTTTTGTGGAGTCTGATTAATTCATTGGGATTAAGCTCTAACTTTAAACGTGTATTCAGGCTGTTGGAGTTATCCAATAGCAAAAACTCAACATCTTTTAAATAAATTTTTTTTAACATTGAGAAACTTTATATTTTTAGATTAAATTATTAATTCAAGTTTTGTAAGTGAAAAATCATATTAATTAACAGATTTTTCTTTGCCACAAGGAAAAAAAAACAATATATTGAATGGTTTTCGGAATTCAGGCGGTGCCAAATCCGATATTGCAAGCCATTAATTGTTTGGCCTAGGTATATGAAAGATCAATGTCCACTGATAAATAATTGTTGTTGGTATCTTAATACTCCCTCCGTTTCTTATTATAAGAAACATTTGATGCTTATAACATATTCTTATATATAAGAGACACTTAAAAGTTGTCTTTACTTTTTTGTGTTGATTTCTTATTTTACCCATATTTATTGTCTCCAACTCACTCTCTCTCCCTCCCACTTCTTTTTCATTTAATAATTTAATTGTTCTCTCTCATGCTCTCTCCTTATTAATGAGGGTATTTTTGGATGAAAATCATACTTTTTACACATTGATTGTTCTTAACTAATTTTAACTGTTTCTTTATTAACGTAATTCGGTTATTTGTCTCTTATAATAAGGAACGGAGGGAGTAATAAAAATCAAAATCTAACCACAAGAACACAGGGGATCGATCTATCGGTGGATGGATTCTGAACGCGTGGGTGGATAGGAAAGTTTTTGCTTTCCCCGTCGAAAAGGGACGTCCGAACGTCATTTTATGAATTTTCTGTCTTTTTTTGGGCCATCTACAATTACATGCATCTATCATACTACCCTCGATAATTCTTTTTTTAATGTTTTTATTTATAAATCGCGATCAATAATTTTTTTTTCCAATAATACTATCTGTATGTTATGTATACTGTTGATTAATGATAAAGTAGAAAGGAATTGAGATAAACAAGCAAGATTGAATTAAAAAATTGTATTTAAGTAGCGTTATATCGTGAAAAGATGGGATTTGTAAACTATTTTTAACTAACTCTCTTAATTCACGTAAAATAGTAGAAAATGACTTATAAATAATTGAGTAAAACACTCAAACTACCCTTGTAGTTTGCATCAATTGCATAGATCTCCTTTTTATTTTTAAAACATACAGTTTAATCCAATTAGTTAACACCGTTAGGATTATTATAAAAATATCCTAAAAATATTATTTTTAACTGAAAATTAAAATAAATTTTATTTACTATTTTACTCTTATTCTAATAAATGACTAAATTATATTTTTACAGTTACATCAATTTCATTCAGTTAAGGCACACAGAAAAGATTTGATTAAAAATTTAACTAATTTTTCAATAAATATATATTTGACTAAATATGTTTATAAATTTTTGTAATAAAGATGTGTTTAAAAGTTTTGAATTACAAATTTAAATAATTTATAAAATCTTTCAAACTTATATTATTTAAACTTTACGATAAACAAAAACTAGGTATTTAAAATATATTTTTATAATTTAAAAGAAATCAAAATAAATAATTTCTAGTGAATGTGATAAAATATTAAAATTATGATTTACACCAAAATTAATAAATTTTATAACATATTAGAAATTTTAAAAATAATTATTTTTTTATTTTATAAAAATATTTTGGGAAAAACTGCAAATAAAGACCTCCTAATATGTAAAATTAAGTTTGGGACTTTCAATTTGAAAAATAACAAATAAGGACTCGGTCCCACTTTTGCAAATATAAAATCGTAGTAAAATGTTTAAAATGCCCTTAACCAAATGACAAGTTGACTATGAAAAATAACAGTTCACTTTAACGAATGATGATTTCAGTGGATCAAATCACAACTTGGCTGAGGGTATGCCAAATGATAAGTTGACTATGGGAAATGTCAAGTTCACTTTAGCGAATGACAACTTCAGTAGACCAAATCACAATTCGGCTGAGGGCATTTCAAACATTTCACCCACATTTCATATTTGCAAAAGTGGGACCCAATCTTAATTGTTATTTTCCAAATTCAAAGTTCCAAATTGTAATTTTACATATTGAGGGGTCTTTATTTGCAATTTTCTCAAATATTTTTTGAAAAATATATATGTCTAAATAATTATTAACTTAAAAGGGGCATTTTGATCAAAATAATTTTAAGTCAAATTTAACTATTAACTAACAACCTGGGTGAATAGAAATAAAATCTTAAATATAACAGGGAGGTTTGTGTAACGTATGTTTAATTGTAAGGAAATTTATATACGTTTTCAAAATAGAAAAGAAGTTTCTATAATTAAGATAAAATAGAAGAGTGATTGGTGTATTTTACTCTAAATAATTAAGAATGGAAGGAATATGTTGATCTATACTTTTCGCCATGCAGCAACAGTGAAATCATTAACTATCCCTATAAATAGTCACGAAGCCTTGATATAGTACACAGGCTCAGCAATAATTACCATTCATCTCTTATGGCCTCTAGACCCCAATTCATTGGGTTTTCAAGCCATGGAGTATTCTTTCTTCTGCCTCGTCTCCGCCTTGTGGTCTCATTCCAAGCTCTTGGTAGCTGCTCTCGTCCTACTCACACTCATTAATTACACCATTAAACACCCTCACTTTACCCGTAAACGCCAAAAATACAAACTTCCCCCAGGTCCTAAACCATGGCCGATTGTTGGTAATTTACCTGAGATGCTTGCTAACAAGCCGGGAGTGCCCAAATGGATACACAAGCTCATGAAAAATTTAGACGCCGAAATTGCATGTTTTAAATTGGGAAACGTTTACGTTATCCCAGTGACTAGCCCTGCTATTGCGTGTGAGTTCTTGGAGAAAGAAGATGATGTTTTTGCATCAAGACCTATGAGCATGGCATCTGATCTCATATCAGCTGGTTATTTAACGACGGCACTTGGGCCATACGGAGAGCAATGGAAGAAGATGAAGAAAATGATAAGCAAGGACTTGCTTTCTCCCATGAAGCATCAATGGCTTCATGCCAAAAGAATGGAGGAAGCCAATAACCTCACGCATTATGTTTATAACCAATCCAAGAGTAAGAATGGGCATGGAGGTAGTTCCGTGAATGTGAGGATAGCTGCTCAGCATTTCTGCGGGAATGTGATCAAAAGAATAATCTTCAATAGAAGGTACTCCTCCGGTCTTTAATATAATATCTATTTAACTAATTTGATTAAATTAAAAAAATTAGGTAAGTTAGTTAATTATAAAAAATATGACATGTTTTTTCTAAAACACCATAATCATCTTCCTTAATATCCTCACTCCCTCTTTTACTTGATTATAATTGAGGGAGTATTCATAGAATAATTTAGAAAAATTAATAAATATAAGAAATAGGTTTTATATTTATAACCAAAACTAACTTAACAATTCAGTCTTATATTAAGAATCGGAGGAGTAATTAATACTTTGAATAGTTTGTAATCAATATATGATGCGATATAATAAGATGGCACCCTCAAATGCTTGTTAATTGTAGGTACTTGGGAAATGGTGGTGGGGAGGGAGGGCCTGGTTTGGAGGACGTAGAGCATGTGGCTGCACTGTTCACATTGCTTATTCACTCGTACGCCTTCTGTGTTTCTGACTTTGTGCCAAGCTTGAGAAGACTTGACTTAGATGGACATGAGAGAATAGTGAAGAATGCTTTGAGGACAGTGAACAAGTATCATGACCCCATCATTGAAGCAAGGATCAAACAGTGGAAGGATGGCATCATGACCGAAACTGAGGACTTGCTCGATGTTATGATTTCTCTCAAGGATGCTGAAAATAACCCTCTATTGACGACGCGGGAAATCAAAGCCCTAATTTTGGTAATTTATTTTCTATTATATCTATTTGTCTCCTTTTTTTTTTTTTTTAAAGGCGACTGTGTGACATTTTTTCCATCATAATGGACTTAGATAAGCAAACTAACGAATAAACGTAACTGAGGGACAGTCTGCCCAATTATTCTTCTCTGTATGCAAATATGCTTACATTTGACACATGCAAAACAGACAAGGCCATTAAAGGACCGTAGGTGAGAGTGAACTGTGGCCCCTAGGTATGTTCCCATCAAAGGGAAGAGTCATGAATTTTTCTTTTCGTTCCTCCTAGGTGATCCCTTTGATTTAAAGCCAATCGCAAAAGTCCCATTTTCTGGATGACGAAACAGACCCCACCTTACCTCGTAACTTTTTTGGAGCACCTCGAATTGTTTCTGATGTTCATACATAGACTGGATTGACCCAAGGATCGTTTCAGCTTATTATCTTACCATTTCATATACAGTCGCAGAACATAAAGTAATTAATCATGAGGGTGGCTAGAAATATTATTAATTATTTTATTATCAGCAAGCCAATTTTAAGGTTATCTTCAACTTTCTTGAATAATTAAAATGTTTTATTCTTTAAACTAGCAAGAGTCTTTGTGTGTTTATTTAATTTAAAAACGTACTTCAGTCTGCACCTTACAACACAACATTTATAAGCTTAACTACACATGGCGATAAATTAATGTCCAAGGAGATATAAATTACTTGGATATTATTTCCTTACCTAACCCACTTATATATATATAGATATATGTAGATGTCCAAGTTGCCGCTGTGTGGATACCAAAGTAGAAGTGAATACACACGTAAACTGAAAAACTCTTCATTAATTATCTGCAAGAACTGAATGAGACATCCTTTGAGATCTTAACCAAAACACATTTGGCAGGACATGATGATGGCAACGGTGGACAACCCATCAAATGCAGTGGAATGGGCACTCGCAGAAATGATAAACCAACCAGAGTTTCTTGAAAAAGCCACTCTAGAACTTGACCAAGTAATAGGAAAACACAGGCTTGTTCAGGAATCAGACATCCCAAAACTCAACTATACCAAAGCTTGCTTAAGAGAAGCCTTTCGCCTTCATCCAGTTTCCTCTTTCAACGTCCCACATGTCTCTATGCGTGACACAGAGGTTTCCGGCTACTTCATCCCAAGGGGCAGCCACGTGTTACTGAGCAAACAAGAGTTAGGGCGAAACCCTAAGGTGTGGAAGGATGACCCTCATAAGTTCAAACCAGAACGTCACCTCGTGGACGAGGGGTCCGATGTGTTCTTAAGTGAGCCAAATTTGAGGTTCATAAGCTTCTCTACAGGAAAGCGTGGGTGTCCAGGAGTGGTGCTTGGGACCACTATCACTGTGATGATGTTTGCTAGGTTGGTCCATGGCTTCACTTGGAGTGCTCCACCAGATCAACCCATTGAGCTTGTTGAGTCTCAGACTGATCTTTTGCTTGCTAAGCCGCTTGAAGCCATTGCACGCCCAAGGCTGCCAGAAGAGGTTTACCTCTTGGATTAATTAATATTTTAATTGTTCTTGTCATTTGCGCAGATATATGAGGCTAGGTATCAGTTAATCGATAGTCAGTATCTGAAGCCGGGTATGGGGGGAAAAAGAAGAAGAAGAATCTAAGACTGTGTAAAAAAACAAACAACCAAATAGATAAATAAATAAAAACCCGAGGCCTTACTGCGAGAACAGCGTGCTTTTCTAAGATGTCTGCAATTTCAATTCAGCTCGCTTTACCTAAATTTTACCATCAACTCTTAACAGTCATCCGTTTTGGATTTTTTCTTCCCCCTAACATCTCAATTCTCACTAAAAAATGCCATCAACAACTGACTGTAGCATTAACCCATGTAGAAAATCAAAGCCCTAATTGTCACGTAATTATGTACTTCTCTACTCTTCCTGTTTTGTTTCCCCTTTTATATAATTTTAAGTGAATTAATTTTGTGCTAGTTATGAAATTGGAACACTCTTGAATATAATAAAGTGAAGGACAGGCTAATTAATGAGCACAAACAGTTCACAGTTGCAAAACACAAGGCAAGCAAGCATACTGAAAGGTGACAATGAACTTTAACCATAATAACAGGGTTAATATACTTTTTGATCCCTTAAATTTAGGTCCATTTTAGTTTTGATCCCTGAAATTTCAAACATGTGGTTTTAGTCCTTGAAATTTATTCTGTTACAAAACGTTAGTCCCTAGCCGTTAAGTTTTGCTGAGCTGGCACAAATAGTGTTAATTTGGATGATGTGGCTTCTGACTTAGCAACATGAGTTGATTAAGGGGCATGATGAGCTGAACACGCGGAGAAAAAAAAGAGCCAGGTCTGTTTAAAATGCAACAGAGGACATTGGAAATTAAAGAAAGAAGCAAAAAATGACGCGGAAGAGAACAAATGATAAGGGAAAGCCACTAGGTGAAGAGGATCCCAATCTCATGGCAAACAGTGACGTGGCTGTTGCTGAAAAAGCAGCATTTTCCAACAATTGTGGTCTTTTTGCTTTGTTTGCATTGTGCTTTGTTTGTGGGATTGAAATTTTGACTGGGTTACAAGGAGAGGGAGAGAAAGAGAGAGGAATCAGATAGTAAATATAGCAATATTTAAAAGTTTGAAATTAGGGAATGTTCTCTAGAAACAAAGAAGCTAGCTAACTCACTCCATGTCGCCATTACTGAGAGAGATTGAGGAGTGAGATGTAAATGGGGAAGAAGAAATCCTAGGTATTTTGCTTTTTATGCAAATGGGTTTTTTACCACACACAGAAATGTATGAGAAAGGAAGATTACCAGTGGTGGTGACAACCTGCAAAGAGACGATGATGAGACCACACCACATAGTGTGTATGTGTGTGTAAACACGAAAAATGATGCTTTTCAGGTTTCTGACCACGCCTATACTATGACCTCCGGTCCTTAAAATGATGCTCATAGCAACTCCTTTAATTCTGTCCTAGGAACAAGTATCCCGGGTAGCTGCATGCAAATGTTTGTGAACTGCATAACCAATAAAGAATACTACCTTCGATTGTTAATATAAGATTTTATTTGACTTTTATTTTGGTCCTAAATATAAAACCCCCAATCCAATTTATCTCTCATATTTATACATTTTTTTCAAGGTAATCCTTCTAATAATAGTAATTCTAGCCAATACATTTGATTAGCAAGGATATTTTAGGAAAGATAATACACATTTATTATAAATAACTAACTTAACTTATTTTTTTCATCTCCTCAAATTGGTCAACTAAATCTTATAATTAGAACTGGAAGTAGTATATTTCCAACCCTCCCTAATTAATGACTATTCGACGTGGCAAACGAAAATGCTGGGTTCAAGTTCTTCGATCCATGGCTACAAGAAATGCTGCTTTTTTAGAGACGGCCACGACGTCCTCTTGACCTAGCGATTTTACCCTTTGATTTGTTTTCTTCTGCATTCTCATGTGCTGCATTTTAAAAAGACCGGACTCTTTTTTTTTAAAAAAAAAAAACTTCTCCTAATTACATGTCCAGCTAATCATGCCACCTCATTAGTTCATGTTGTTAAGTTAGAAGCCACATCATCCAAACTAATGTTGTTTGTGCTGACTCAACAAAACTTAACGGCAAGGGACTAACATTTTGTAATGGAATAAATTTCAAGGATCAAAACCATATGTTTGAAATTCCGGGAACCAAAACCAAAATAGGCCTAAATTAAAAAATTATATTAACCTGTAATAATATCTTCCCTCCAGAAAAAGGTAATTCTTTTTTCTTGGTCGCTATTATACCGTCTCATTGATTTATTGCCCACATTGGAAGTTGCAAAAGGACCCCCCAGGGTTAAATTGAATCGAGGATCGTTTCACCTCATCGTTCTGCCCTTTCAAGTGAAGTCAGAAAATAAAATGATCATGCCAGCAATTAAAAGTTGCTCTTTAAACTAACGATGCCTTTTTTGTGTTTCAAAATACTCCTCTACTTTTAATATAAGACCTAATTGTTGAGTTGATTTTAATCCTAAATAAAAGACCTATTTTTCATATTTATTATTTTTTTTCTAAATTACCCCTATAGATCTCCCTCAACTATAATCAAGTAAAAGAGGGAGAGAGGATATTAAGAAAAATGATTATAGTGTTTTAGAAAAAATATATCATATTTCTTATAATTAACTAACTTACCTAACTTTCTTAATCTAATGAAATTAGTTAAATAGGTCTTATATTAACAACGGAGGAGTATATACCCAAGTTCTGTACATTACAAGAGACGATTTAAGCTGACATGGAATATAATTGACTCATGCACGAATACTGGTCTGAAGCTCACCTCTCCCTGGATTATCGTACGTCCTTTTCTTGCGTCTCATTATCGTTTGACCTTATAACGTGAAGGGTTATAAAGGTGATCCGGTTTGTACGCTTTTCACTAAAAATAATAACAATAACAAGCGTCTCAGAGTTAGACTTAGACAAAGTAAATATTTCCTATCGTTCGTATGAGAAACGAGAAACGAGAAACGAATATAAACAAGAGAATGTAATGTGTAAACCCATCTCCATATGGACAATATTATCAAAAGCAAACTATATATAATTTTATATATGAAAAAAATATATGATGAGAAGATAATCAAGGAGGATTGTTCTGACTTGAATTGGCATCATAATATACCTTGTCATCTGTCCCTTCCTTCTCCAAGATAACTGCTCCAGAGCTTCCCCCATTAGAGAAGCACCCCTGACCTCCATTAGGGCGATTTTGATCCATATATACCTGTAGTGGATGACACTTTGCAGCTCCAACATGACCATTCATGCTTAGTGCATCAACTTGCATGTCATCGCGATCAGGATGGCTATTCAGATCTATCTACACAGCACTGCATTCACCCACCTCAAGCTGTCTTATTACCGGCTATCCATCAAGTATAGTTTCCCCCTGAAACTGCAACATGATTTTTATGCTCTGTATTTCTTCATCCTGGAACACCATGCGATTCTTATGCATTTCCCCTTGTCATTTATTTATGGCCTCTTGAATTGGAGCATGCATGATCATTTCAAGTTTAAATGCTTGCTTGCTTCCCGTTAAAGCATACATTGACAAGCTAGCTCTTTTTTCCTTTTGGCTGCGACAACTTCCTAGAGTAACTATACTAAAAATTCATCGCTATTTATGGCACAGGATAAATAGATAGTCTAGTCTGGCAATAAGCGTCCACTTATTTTTTTTTGAAATTGACAGTGTTCAAACAAAAGATATTAATATTTGGACTTTCCTTTCTCAAGGAAAATCTGCTCGACATCAATTTCAACACTTCTACGATGGAGGTTGTTTTGGCAGCATCCTCTGTTGATGCTGATATTGGTTGCTGGGACCTTCAGTCGGTCGCGGAGCAACTGCGCAATAAAACTTGTGCTTCCACCCCTCATGGCCTCGATAGTGTGGGCAGTCGCTTCCATGTATCTTCCCAGATCCGAGATTCCTCAGCCAATGCTGGTCTGCTTCTCTATTGGTCCTGGTCCAAGGTCTTTCTTCTTCATTGCATTTCATGCATTTCAAGTTGTTTGCAACTTTGCCTTCTTTTCTTTCTTTTTTTTATAATGATAATCTGATTTTTACCGATGTATTTATTTGGATGAATAATAATGATTGAAATGTCATTGCTTATGGCGCAGCCTCAAGTAGAAGCCAGGAGCTTTCCAGCTGAGCCAATCGGGCCTCTTGCTGCTAATCACCCAGGCACTTATATAGCCAGTGGAGGTTTATCGGGTGACATATACTTTTGGGAGGTATAGTAACTCTTTGATGGGACATTATATGGTAAACGTCTCCTGGCATTAGGTTGGGAAGATATGAATTGAAAATGAAAACTTAGTTGCTGTTGCCTTTTTACTTTATTGACATCATGTTTTGTTTTTCAGCTTGAAACTGGCAGATTGCTTAAGAAGTGGCATGCTCATTATAGGGCCGTAACTTGCCTAGTATTTTCTGAGGATGACTCACTACTGATATCTGGTTCAGAAGATGGATGCATACGAGTTTGGTCCATGTTCACGTCCATAATTCTCATCTTTCCTCTTCCTCTTCTCCATTTTTGCATTTTCTAGGAGTTATACTACGTGCTTCAGGATATTTGATGATTTGAAAAGGCAGGAAGCAGGTCATCTTTATGAGCATAGTTTCTCAGAGCACACCTTATCAGTAACTGACATTGTAATTGGCTATGGAGGATGTAATGCAATTATAATTTCTGCTGCAGAGGATAGGACCTGTAAGGTTTGGTTTGCTTTTTTCTTTTTTGGTGTCTTTTTTATAGTATCGTTTTAGTTAAGTAATAGGATATATTAGACTAGGAAACTTATTTATTCTTTGCAGCTCGAATGACCGAGATCCTCCTCTTTTGAAACTTTATTATGTATTTCTTGAGGTTTTGCATGCTTAGGAATCATAATTCATAATGTTCACGTGCCAAAGCAAGAAATGCTTCATAAATGTAGGGGGGATTTGTTCTGAAAGCTCGCAAAACAATCCTCTACTGTCTGTCAAATCAAAGGCTATGAGGGTCAGTGTTATAACTCATATAAAGTGAAAGGCATCTATTCTAAGGAAATGTATGCCATAAATATGATATTTTCTTGAAAGTAGTAATGTGAAGAAGCTGAACTGCACAACTAAATTTAAGAGTTATCTTTTACCAATAAAATATAGGTCTGTTCTAGATTTTTCTCTTTTTGTTTTTTCGTCAGAAGTGAGGGGTCAGTGCTTAATATTGTTCCAAGGGTTACCTGGTGTAGACTACACTTTGAATGAACTCTAATTTGCTCTGTTAGATTTGGTGTCCATTGTTCTCTATATTTAACAAAGTTGATACTGGGACCATTTTATTGTAAATACTATGATTATTTCTTAGAAAGCGCTCGCACACACATTTGGTTTCTTTGTTATTTGGTGTGTTCTCATATGAATTGGCTGTGACTTCTTGGCATCTCTATTTTTCTCGTAAATATTGTTTTCTGGTATGGCACTGCTGTTGATTTTGATCCGAGTCATAATATTCTTTTTTCCCCAAGGTTTGGAGCTTATCTAGAGGAACATTACTAAGAAATATAGTGTTCCCGCCACTAATCGATGCGATTGCATTGGATCCTGCTGAACATGTCCTGTATGCTGGCAGTAGAGACAGAAAAAATATTTGTTGCCGCACTTAACACTGTAAAGATCTATAGTCATAATCATCAGATGCATATCATCGGTTCATTCTCTAATCACAGGTTAGTTCTTCTCTTCTAAGTATACATATCTTGAAACATCGACCTCCCTATTAGTGGTTTGCTCGTATTTTCTCCTTCATGCTCTCAACTCTTCATGTTCGCCAAAGTTTTGGTAGTTTGTTTTCTCTTTGCCATGATATTTTTCCTCATGTAAATCACGATGAGGCATTTGCTAACTTGTTTGGTGCTTCGTGATTGGGCTGGAATTTAGATTTTTCCTTAGGTTGGTCTTCAAATTGCCAGGAGCATCTTCTTTAAGCCAATATTTGACAATTTAGTCGGCCAGTGTCAGTGACGTACTCTTTTCCATTGAAAACATTGCATATTGGCTTCTGACAGGGCATTGCAGTTTTACTTTTTCACCAGTGGACACTGTATAACCTGTTAGTTCAGCATGAGTGCCTGCTTATTTATATTAGAAATTTAGGAAATGAAAGCCATTATTGACACAAGATTTTAGTTATCTTGAATTGCTGATCATGGATATTATCTGTGAACTGTCAGAATTAATGATCAATATAAGTCTTAATGCATCTGATGCAAGAGTGAATGTAAATATTGCAGGGCTTGTAAATAATATTCTCGTTGTTAGAAAGCAGCTTGACTCAAGCAAGCGTATGTCTTCAACTTCACAATCGTGCTCAAGAAAGCAGGGATCTTCATTACCCCCTCCATTGGAAAAATACTCAAATTCAACAACAAATGAAGATTCAGATGTTGAGACAGTTGTTAGCCTTCACGATGACAGGATCGGTTTGGATGTTTCATACATGTCTTGTCGGGCGATACTTAATCAAATCAAGGAATTTCAGGCTTGTTGCGCATTGACGATTAACCGATAGATATATTCTCACCATTAGCCTCATTTTGCAATGATTTTTTTTTTTTTGTGTGTGGGCAAAATGCCGTTATTTAATCTTCTAACTTCGATAAAGCCTCTGTTTTTAATCTTTTAAAACAGAATCGGGGCTCCTCTGCCTCTGAAATGGAGATGGAGAGGCTAAAAGCAGATTGCAAGAGATCTCCTCATATGGTTGACCGATTTAAGAAAATGTGTGAAGATTTGCAAGAATTCAATGAGGATGACTTCTTGAAAAGTGGTCAAACAAAAACTTCAGATCAAGCTGGCAACTAGGTCGCTTTATTTTCTTGCTTGCTCTGCTCAAATTTACCCTTCGAATGTAGAAATTCTAAGGCTTAGGTGATTTATCTGGCGAGTTATTATTGGCAATTTTGCTTCCTCTCGGTACTTCTAAGTGCTGATATGCTGCTACGCAACACAGAGCTCTTTTATACTCCTCCGGTCCTTAATATAGGACCCAATTCTTGAGTTAGTTTTGGTCCTAAATATAAGACCCATTCATCATATTTATCAATTTTCTCTAAATTACCCCTATGGATACTCTTTCAACCATAATTAAGTATAAGAGAGAGGAGGGATATTAAGAAAGATGACTATGGTATTTTAGGAAAAATGTGTCACTTTTCTTATAATTAACTAACTTACCTAACTTCCTTAATCTAATCAAATTAGTTAAATGGGTCTTATATTAAGGACCGGAGGAGTACATATTTTTTGGATGGGCAATTAAATGCTACATGTAAACGGTGAACTGTTCGTGGCTTATGGGAAATACATCAATACTTGACTGAGGTTGTGGCCATTTGGAAGGGAAAACAAAGGAAATGGATGATAAATTTTTGAACTACATTAAGGAAGTTCTCTCTAGAGCATATTTTTCTGTCTATTTCCGCAACGGTACTGATCTAAATGGTAATTATTTGTGTTGGTCGCCGTAGTTGCAAAACTGAATTTAATTTTGGTTGCGAAATTGACGATTAATTCATTGAATTAGTTTGTTCGATCCTGCAAAATTAATTTATTCGAAATCGATTAATTCATTGAATGATTGAATCGAAATGATGGAGTTAATTTCTTAAGAAACAATTAAAACTCAACGAGATACATATTTCCATCTTATAATGTTGCACTAAATCTGAATGCGAAAAAAGGGTTTTATTTCCTGAGCTAATCCAACTTGAAAAATTCTCATTTCCGAAGAAATATCCACTAGGAGCTCTCGGTATATAAGATTTTTTTTCCTGTATTTGAGTAAAAAACAATTAATTAAACAAATAAAAATAGAAGAAAATAACCAATAAGCTAGTGGTTAAGATAGTAAATAGTCTTCTGCAAGAAGGAGAACACAAGTCTGAGTTGTTGCGAGGGCTTTAAGCTTTTAATTTAATACTCTCAGCCTGATAGAAATTAATCTCAAACTTACAATAACTTAAGGATATTCTGAGTCATACCAAAAAAAACCGAAAAAAGGAAGATAAAATAATATCAGGGAAGATGAGATTTTCAAAGGACATTTGACTCCCTTGTATTTAGGACCACAGTTACCAGTAGTATATAATTATAACAAATAACCAGAAAATTCCAAATAATGCATTGAAAAGAAGAGTGTTATTGAAAACGTGAAAAAAAAAAAAATTGTTAGACAAGAGATTTGTGGAGGAGATGCCTGCTCCGACGTGTGGAGGAGAGAAGAGGAGCAGTCAGCATCCATAAACTTAGATCTGTATATGGAAATCTTAAAAGATTGGTCATAAACAGTTGTAAATTACGGATGTTTTCGTATGTATAACTCCAAAAGTTAATTGTAAATTACCTTTAACACGTTAATGTAAAAACAGAGTACTTAAATTATCTTTTGCAAATGAAGGTGGGCACATTATGGAGGGCCTCTCAAATCTTGCATTAGTTAAAATTGTTCAGAATTATATTTATATTGATTTTTTTTATGAATATCTTATAATTTAATCCAGAATGATTTTTATTTCTTTTATAAAATTAGATTCTCCTTCATGATATGATTTATCTCATTTGTGATTAGAAAACATGAAGAAAAAAAAGACACGTAACCATATGTGATTAAAGGAGTTGATATAATAAACATAAAAATCTTGACATAAGTATTGTTTTATATATAATTGACAACGCATGTGTTGAAATAATGTTAAGACCATATTGATTAATAATTTATAAATATTTTTATAAGCAAGTTTTAAGATGTGTTGTAATCATAATAATTAAACCTAAGAGTTAAGGTATAAATTTGTTTAAAAGTTCTCACTTATAAACACTGGGTACTCAGAATTTTTTTGGATGTAAATTTGTTTAAAAACTTTAAAATCATAACAATATTACTCATTGCTATTAAAAATGTTAACAAGCAGTATCACTATTTTACAATTAATATTAATTTTTTAGTTGTAGGAAACAATACTGTCAGGATTTCAAATTTTTGTGACAAATTTGCACAAACAAAAAAAAATCATGTGCCTAGTATTCCTAATTAAAAATTTTTAAGACAAATTTACCCCTAACCTAAAGAAAGGGGTATGATATTGTATCCTGATGACAACACAAGGAACATATTTTAAAAGGTTGTACAAAAGTGAAACATGTGAGAAAATGTCATGCACGGCTTTTTGATACATGAACCTTGTAGAGTGATTGATGCATTTGTGGAGATAAGTTGAGAGGACCCCAGTACAATCTCGTTTCCACCTCACATCTCTTTTCCTGTCCCCTTCACTTAATTTGTGTCGTCTATATTAACTACCACCGGTTTAAAATTTAATATTTTATTAAAAAATATTGAAATATTAAAATTTAATATGAAAACAATTTTGAGCCTCATATGCTTTTCCTTAATTTTTATTTTGATACCTACATATTTTTTCTTTTAATTAAATACTACCTCGAGTTCTTAATTAAAAAATTAGTTATGTTAGTTAATTGTAATAAATATTTATTGACTTTTTTATACTATCGGGTGTATTGAACCATCTCTCTGTAAGAATTCATTATAGTCAATATATTAGTTAAGCAATTTTTTTAATCCTTCAAATTAAGATAATTGCAAACATTAACATTTTTCATATTAGGGGTTAAAGTTCGTTTGAGATGTAGACGGTGGTCAAGATCATCGATCCTTGCATCCAGAGGTTTTTTGTTTTAAAAAAAAAAACTGATGATGACTCTCACAAGAGAGTTCGTTCTCGTGTGTGTGCACACGCATGCATACTTCTCTATGTAAGCATTTACTTTTTTTTTTTTTTTGACCAGCTAAGCATTTACTAATTTTAGTAATTTGGTCGTTAGGTATATCGATCTACTCCGCGCATATGACTAGTCAAACTGTACACGTTTCTCTATATATGAGCCGCATATCCTCCCGAGAAATATGTAAAACGGGAAAAATAGTATCAACTCCTATATGTTTGGGTTTTTTGTTTTGTTTTTTTTGGGGGATCCAACTTGATTGATGTTCTATAAACTACCACCTCTTGTTTTTAATATAAAAACTAATTTGATATTCAGTTTAATTATAAATATAAAATCTCAATTCATTTTATCTGTTATATTTATTTTTTTCCCCTAATCTCGTCATTAAATATTTCATCAAATGGTAATTCTAGCTAATACACATAATTAGCAAAAATTTATTACAAATAATTAATTTAACTAATTTTTTTAATATATTTAAATTAGTCATTTGACCTTTTATATTAAGGATTGGAGGTAATATTATCTCATCCTCTTGTGCATTAATAAAAATAAAAGAGCTTATAATTTGATACAATTGAAAAAGAAAATCTAATATATATATAAAATAAATTTTTTGAAAGAAAATTAGTAAACAAAATATATTTGTGCATATAATAAAATTGATATAACAAATTCAATTAAGTATGTGTGGACCTATAGCAAAAGATAAGATGAAATCAGAATACTACGTCATCAATGTAAAAACATGACATCATCAATTTTATTTATCCAAATCAACATCAAATAAAAGTCTTACCATGGAAAGGGTTCGGTAAAGAAGATAAACACAGGACCTCATCAAGCACATAATAAGCACTTAAATGGAACTAGTTTCGGTACTTATTACAATAATGAGTATCATAATATTTATCAAATCCCAATTATTTAAATTTATTATAGACAGTCAAAATTTAAATTTTAAATTGTTGTTTTTTAAAAATATTTTTCTTTAATAAGTACATAGTCCAAATAAATATATTTTCAGCTAAAGTATACTTTTAGTCCTTTAACTTTATGTAATATTTCATTTTGATTCCTTGATTTTAAAAAGTAAACTTTTAGTTCTCTAACCCTAATACTGTTAACAAAAAATGATGATATTGAGCTCTTGAATGTTAATAAAATATTACTAAATACTAACATATTAAGTTTAATATTCAAAACAATCATGATTGTTACAAAAAAATAATCATTTAAGACCAATAATTTTGGGATTAAAGGACTAAAAGTATACTTTTTAAAGTTAAGAGACCAATAAAACCTTACATAAAATTAGATGACTAAATATATACTTTAACCAATAATTTCTTAACTGTAAGTTTTTTAAAAAAATTATTAGTTGAAAATTTTAAATGTAGACAATTAAAATTATATTTGAATGGTGTAGATTTTACTGCAATTATGAGTATCATGGATATTCATCATTGCAATGAGCGCCAAAACCAATTCCCACTTAGATGTGTTCGTAGTGGGAGAGCTGGAATCAAACTTAATAGATAATCTGAACAAGAGATTATTAAAATAAACATTTCAAAATAATCCGACCAATTGAATAATTAGTACTAATTGTTGTGAATGATTTAGCACTTAATCTGCTATTTCTATTTTTTGCATTAGATATGTATGAATTCTACAGAGCGATACGTACATATACACAAATATAAATAGAGACAGTAAATTTATCATCTCCTATTATTTACAGAGCCTACACAATAATAAAAAGAGATTACAAATAAAATGACCTGAGGAAGCTTCCGTCACATGCAGTTTTGTCACTCAGGGAATTGAATAACCATGCATGGGATCAGCCGCCTCAATAGTGAATGCTCATTAAAAAAAAAAAATTAAAAGCAGAGAAAAGCTATATTCAAACGCGCCTCCGCCACTGCTTAATTAATTACGTTCATTTATATACATACATGAACACACACATATATATACTCATATTAAAGAGGGCGAGAGAGTTACGCAAAGATTTTGTGTGTGTGTATTCACTTTTCAAATATAGAAGATAAAAAATTAGGTTCGTGGCTACGAACCATTATAAATAGGAGCCAAAGGGACCAGAGCATATCAACAAGACCATTACCAAGTTCTGCAAAGTGTACTGAAGCCCCATGGACTCCACAGATTTCTTCTCCTTCATTTCACCATCTTGGTCTTATGCCATGATCTTCATAATTGCTCTCTTCAGACTCATCAAAACCCTCAAATACCCTCGCTCTACCCCTGCATTGCTCCGCAAACACAGACTCCCTCCAGGTCCCCAACCATGGCCCATTATTGGTAATTTACCAGAACTGCTTTCAAGCAAGTCTGCGTCCAAATGGATACACCAGCTTATGAGAAACTTAAACACTGAGATTGCATGTATCAAGCTGGGAAATGTCCATGTGATTCCAGTGATCGACCCTACTATAGCCTGCGAGTTCTTGAAGAAACAAGACGATATTTTCGCTTCAAGGCCTATCAGCATGTCCACTCATCTCCTCTCACGTGGCTATTTAACTGCAGCCATCGTGCCATATGGAGATCAATGGAAGAAGATGAAGAAGATGATAGTGAAGGACTTGCTTTCTCCAGCCAGGCATAGGTGGCTTCATGACAAGAGAATGGAGGAGGCTGATAACCTCGTGCGCTACGTTTACGCGAGTCAGAATAACAATGAAGGAGGCCTTGTGAATGTGAGGATTGCTGCTCAGCATTTCTGCGGGAATGTCATCAGGAAAATAATCTTCAATCAAAGGTAACTTAGTGTAAATAATAATAATAATAACTCAATAATATTAAATGACTTCAATCTAGTAGACTATTGCTTCATGAGACCTGTAGCATGGTTGAAAAATAAAAGAGGTAGTTTTTAAAAACTATAATGCAACATGCATTCCTTTAATAATTTGTTTTATATTTCTGTAACAGGTATTTCGGAGAGGGTGGCCAGGATGGAGGGCCAGGGTTGGAGGAAATAGAGCATGTGGGTGCACTTTTCGTAATGCTCAAATACTTATATGCCTTCTGCGTTTCTGACTTTGTGCCATGCTTGAGGGGACTCGACTTGGATGGGCACAAGAGAGTGTTGAAGAATGCCGTGAGGATAGTGAACAAGTATCATGATCCCATCATCGAAGCAAGAATCAAACAGTGGAAGGAGGGCGCCAAGACAGAATCTGAGGACCTGCTTGACGTTATGATTTCTCTCAAGGACGCTCACAATAACCCTCTATTGTCCATGCAGGAAATCAAAGCGCAAATTCCAGTTAATGCTCTTGTCCACTTCATATGTACTTCAATTTTTTAATGCTTTTGAAGAAGGAGAAATTTATGGAACTCGATTAAAGCAATAACAAAAACGAATCGGAACTTTATTTATTTTGCAGGAACTTATGTTTGCAACAGTGGACAATCCATCGAACGCCGTAGAATGGGCACTCGCAGAGATGATGAACCAGCCACAACTTCTTCGAAAAGCCACTGAGGAATTGGACCGAGTAGTGGGTAAGGACAGGCTTGTTAAAGAATCAGACATACCAAAACTCAACTACATCAAAGCCTGCATAAGAGAAGCCTTTCGCCTTCATCCTATTGCTGCATTCAACGTCCCTCATGTGGCTATGCGTGACACGGTGGTTTCCAACTACTTCATCCCAAAAGGCAGCCACGTGATACTGAGCAGACAGGAGCTAGGGCGAAACCCCAAGGTTTGGGAGGATCCTCTTAAGTTCAAACCAGAACGACACCTCACGAACGATGGTTCAGAAGTGTTCTTGTCAGAAACGGATTTGCGGTTCATAACCTTCACTACGGGCAAACGTGGGTGTCCAGGAATGGTGCTTGGGACCACTCTCTCTGTGATGTTGCTTGCTAGGTTGATCCATGGATTCACTTGGAGTGCTCCACCTCACCAACCAGTTGAACTGGTTCAGTCCGAGACAGACCCCTTCATCGCTCAGCCACTGGTGGTCGTTGCAAAACCAAGGTTGCCTAATGAGGTTTACGTCTTGGGTTAATTTAGCCAAGCTAATATAATATTAATACATAAGCCAATCAAATAATCAGGAGAATAATATTTTAGGTATCTTCTTATGTGTTCCTGGTGACATAATGATAAGAATATTTATGTATTTGATTCCAATCCTTTGTACTCTATGCGCAACCTTCATATATTTGATTTGTAGACTTACAATCTCCAGAGTGCTACGATATCGCATCGCTCTTTTTTTTTGGGTGAATATCGAGGGCCCAAGCCAAATTAGGACCCACTTTCTGTATTCATCATTTTGATGAGCACTCTAAACTTATCAAATCTAGACTATTTATATCTGATTTTTAAACGGTCCAGATTTAAAGTTTTTAATTAATTATTTTTAATAAAAATTATTTGTTGTAAAAATGATAGTCAAGAGATTATTTTTATTTTAGATTTTATACATATTAAAATAATTATTTTGAACAAATAAAAATAAAAAAGAAATTAAATTTGAACCATCCAAATAAGATATAAACGGTCCAGATTTGATGAGTTTAAGATGCTTGTCAAAATAATAAATAACAAAATTGGATCCAGCCAAACCAAGGCCCAGTTTCAGCCAAACCATACAAGTGGAGGAAAGTTAAGAATAGCTTGCAATAAAACTAATTTATTTTGTTATTATGATCACGGTACTTTTACCTATAGTGGCTGCGAGGCATGCAGTTTGGATACGCTCTAATTAATTAAGTAGATGATGGAGGGACTTACAACCCCCCCCCCCCCCAAAAAAAATATTCATCCATCGGATAACTTAAAATGCTTTTCATCCTCGTGCTCCTTATGCCGCTTTTAATTTGCGAAGACTTTGAGCCTCTTTGCTTAATTATTCGGTGCATATGTCTGTTGCAAATTTGCTGTGCAGTACGTAGCTCGCTTACCTTACCGGAATAATCTTAATTTCATTTGCTAATTTTTCATGCCTAAAATATCACTATAGGTCAAAAGACTGCATAAGCAAGAAAATGCAGAGATTTGAAGGAAGTTAAAAGTAGTTATGGTTTTAAAATTAAAACCCAAAATAACAAAAACAAATAAAGAAAGAAAGAAAGAAACAGATGAAATCATACAAATAGAAGAAGACAAGAACTCTACAGGTACGGTCTCTTTCTAAGTAAGGGTGACCACTGATCTGTTAACCTGACTGAAAGGCAGATATTGCTTATAAGCAGACCACACACACCAAGTAAACAGCAGCATGAGTTTTTCATGGGAATCAGTTTTAGAACTCATCATTCTAATTAGCACCTTGAGCTTATTAGATCTTGATCGTTCGTATCTTATTTGAATGGTCCGAATTTAATTCTTTTTTACTTTTATTTTCTCAAAATAATTATTTTAATATTTATATAATTTAAAATAGAGATAATCTCTTATTATATTTTTTAAAAAAAATAGTTTTTTCTATTTAAAATAATTAATTAAAGATTTTAAATCCGGACCCTTCAAAAAAGATATAGACAGTCTAAATTGATGAGTTTAGGACACTCATCAAGATAATGAGTACTGAAACTGGTTCTATTTTTATGTGTCCGTCTTACTTCACGTTCTCTCATCAGCTGAATGTTACGTTCCATCTACTTGAAAATGATTCAGCAAGCCCAGGAGCTCATTTCTCCATCAATCCTTTTTCCCTAAACTTGACAGCTAAAAGCTGCGCATGTTCTAGACTCCTCTGATCCTGAAATCCCATATTTTTTTGACTTTTTAACCTCTTTCAGTTAATATATTACTATGGAAATCAAATGCGGAATATGAATGATGTTCTGAACCAGAAAATTCGTACTTACTGAG